TTTTTAAAAAGAACCTTTAAATTTGTTTATTTGAGGTACTACTTTATTTAAATAAAATTATTTATTGTAAATACATATTATCATTAATWGATAGATACTATTATATGTATAATTTAGATTTGACTGATTTGGGACTATGAGTGTAGTACGAAAATTTGAATATTTTAGGGACTGAGGTTAGGTATATAAGTAATATAAGTATTTTAAAAATGCAAAAAAAAATGTATTGGGGGAGAGTTAAACAAAATTCCTTTTTAGCCTCTCCCCTATTCTACGACAAATTACCTCGTGCTTATAAATCAATATACAAAACCAACAATAATAGTCAATAATAATATCATGTAGGTTCCTACTATACATGCAGAAACTATTATTTTATAATTTACAGAAAAAATTTCAAAATTTGGCGATGGAATCAACATTTACTACTGAAATAAGTACCATGAACTGCATATATGACATATTAGTACAGAAGAAAGAATACCTTTGTGAACAAATATGCACGCATAAATTAAAATGCAAAATGTTAGCTCCTATAGTACAACAAAATAGCCCAAAGGCGATACAAAGTCAGGCAATTGAGCATTCAACTATACCTGCAACTCAGCAAGAGGAGAGTGAAGAACTTGATTTAAATACTATAAAGAAACGTTTTTTTTATTAATTATTTAGTATTTAACAATTATATTATGTTCCTGGTGAGTATTTGACTTAAATCTCATAGGTTAGGTTAGGTAACATACCATACAGGACAAACATAGGTACCTAAATATTTATATTAAAACTTTTCAACATAGTTAACATAAACTGTAGGCACATATGAAAAACTCAAAATGTCATTATATTAAATGATATCAACTACTAATAGATAATTTAACACTAAGAATAATCAAAAATCTTTTAAAACGTTTTGTGTGATGGTATTTATCTATGTAGTTGGTAGGTATGAGAGATAAAACCAATACCTATTACGCTGACATCCTTTAAAGAGGAGGTTCTTCTATATTCTATAACATATTCACTATCTAACACACCAACTTAAAATCAAATAATCACAAAAGAATTTATTYATTAGCAAAAACAACAAAATACCTAACAAAAATTTATGAGTGTGCCCACCCACTGATGTTCACCAGGCTAAATAGTTAATTTGGCAATGAATTATATAAACATTTGTTTTATAAGGTGTACTTTATATGAGAAACTTAAGTTAAATTAAATCTTAGGTTATAGATAATAAAAGAACTAATATAAGTACCTCAAACATCTGCAGTCATAAACTGTAATGATACGTAAATATTTAAAAAACATTTTCAATCATTTAATTTGGCATTTTAAGTCAAATGGCCCCATGTTGATGTAATATTTTTACCTATAATATATTAATATATATATTATAATATATAGTCTGAAAATATTATTAATAAGCAGGGCTCGGGACTTTATGCATTTGCATATTTGTTCAGGAAGTAAATAGAATAAATCTGATCCGGTACAAATTTGTGTTGTGGTGTTTGGAGTTAAAGTTTAAAAGTTTATTGCGCATAATATGTTTGCATAYTTAGGAATTTTTTCTGCAAATACATATTTTTAAGATTTATTGATTTTTATTACATATTTTAAAATAATTTTTGTTAATTTACTCTTAAATCAATTGTTAACAAATAATATTGTACAGTATGGTTAGGGAGAGGATGGGACAGTCGAGTACTCCCTACTGTAACTTAGTGTGGACAGTTGTCCAGTAGTCTTTTTGCAATTGTTGCCTCAGACGGTTGTTGCTCACCGTATTGTGTTTTGTTTACCCATAGTTCCTTATTAATTATTATTTGAGTATTATGATATAGAAATAAAGAGTATTAACTGTGAATACTAGTCAATGTGTTTAATTTRTTTTGGTAAATCGTTAACACAATTTTTTAGTAAATTAATTTAGAAGATGCTGAGTGTTTTTTTCTAATAACATAGTATGTATAAAAAATAAATGTTTAGTAATATGTACACGATATGWTTTTTTTAAATTAAATTTGTATAAGTGCGTATTTGTTAATTAAAAATAAATGCATTTTTTAATGTTTTTGGTGCATATGTATGCGCATATTTTTAAGATTTTAAGCACATAAAGCCCCGAGCCCTGTTAATAAGTAATAATGGAGTCAAAAAATATATTTACTGTGGTAAATTAAAAATGCATTGATGGTTTAAACATTATGTAGGTAGTAGGTATGCATTATATATATTTTATTTTAGATGGAACTATTGAAAATTCAGTCATACATTATCAAGATTGCCAGGAAATTATTTTCTTTTTTGTCCGAATAAAATAATTTAGTTTATTACTGTTTTACTTTAGACCAGTTGTTTTCAATCAGTGTGCCGTGATATTGACTAGGTATTTCGCAAGAAATGTCTGATATTTGTAATTATGCTGGTAAAAAATATTAACAACAGTACTTTATTTCATTATATTTGTGTTGAGTTTGCTGTGAAAACTTGTGATGTAAAATAGTATGCCTCGAACCAAAAAAGCTTGAGAAACACTGCTTTGGAGACACTGAACTAAAAAGAAAATCTAAGTAGTTTGAATTTAATTTCGTTAATTTTAAGTAATTTTAAGTAATTTATAACTATAATATGTCKAAAAGAGTAGGTAATTATTTTTTTATCAGATTTAAAAATATTTTATAGGAACTATTTTAAATTATTTACTCTATGAATTGTTATAATTCATTGAGTTATAACTGAAACTGAGACAGATTAAATAGTAATCCACTTTAAAATAAAATTATGTAAAAACTTCTATACTTGCTGATTTTTGATTCAAAACTATTATAAAAACTTATGTACAGATTATTATAACGTGTAGAGAAAATTTACTATTTATGCATAATTATCAATTTTGTTAAGAATAAATAAATACATATGACTTGTAACGACTTAAGTTTATTAGTCTATATCTATATTAGAATATTCTTATTTAATACATAAAATAGATTTTTGCTATTAAAATTGTTCATACATAATATGCATATTGCATTGTCTATAAAAATACATAATTATCAATTTCCTAATATAATTTAGGTATATGTAATACATTTTAACATTTTAATAAAGTGTATAAAAATAGATAAAATACAATTATTATGAATATGCTTAAATATGGAATATTTAACTTAATATTTGTGCTTTGATTGTGAAAGACCGAACAATTTTAGTAAAATATAAACATAAATAGTTGACCAACTGTATGCCTTTCAGTCATTAACCAAAATATGTTTTTAATGAATCATAATAATTATACAAACAAATAAAATAATAATATTTTAATAGGTACAATATATTAATAAATAGATAACATCAGTTCCACAATACCAAAGGAAATAACAAAAATAGTTAACAAATATAATTAACAAAATTTAAATAGTTTAAGGATTTAAAATATTTTTTTCAAAAAAGTTTTAATACTTTTAGACTTTGTTTCAGCTACATTTTTGTTTTTATTGGAATCAAGAACACTTAGGGTATGTTGTAACGGTCCTGAAATTCGCTTATTTCTTACTGACAATGCAGTTTTTATGAAATCATGTGTTGAACCATTGCATGCAGTAAGGTCCGACGAGGAAGCTCTTCGATTGGATTGAGAAAGGCTAGAGGTAGATTTTAGTTTGATGTTACCATCAACACCACCTGCTTCTAGGTTAATTGCATTTGATTTTGATTTCAAAATAAGCTCTTTTCTCTTTTTTCTACGTTTTTTTTCATTTTTTATATTTTCTCCATTGTTATTTCGGATTAATAAATCTTGATGTGTTGTTCCTATCAACAATATAAAAATTTTATAGGTTGATAAATACTTGCTTTGTCACAATAAAATTAATGTAGTTTTTATATAAAAAAGAAACAACAAGAAAATTTCATTATAAGTTAAAATAGGATAATATTTTAACGGCACACTATTTTAAAAAGAAATTTTAATTTATTTAGTAAGTACCTATATATAAAACGATTAACAAGTTAAAATTTGGCAATCAGAATTAGTTTTGATGTTATAGCCTAATGAAGTCTATGATTTTATAATTTTGTTTATTTCGCGAATGTGATATGCAGTGCTCTATTTACCATGCCTTTCATGACTAATTTTTTTCAATACACTTTTAATGAAATTGAGKCATTTAAAATAAAGCATTATGCAAATGCATGTATAAAAATTGCAGAATCGGAAATTCTATCAGGATATAAAGATACTTCAAAATTAAGTTTGATTGACAATTTCTAATTGTTGATGATAAGTAAAGTAACTTAAAATTGTGTCTGGTAATGTAATAAACTAGCAGGAGTTTCTGATAATCAACTGCAATATAACAATAACAATATACCAACGCAATAAGGTATAATATTATTATAATATGATAATATAATTATATTATGTGAGTGCAACAGCGGTACCTCTCAAGGCAAGGAGGTTTAAGTTCATATAATAATTCATCTCTTTAAGAATGTATTAATAAAAAAGCGGGTAAGTCGTGTATGTCGCTCTGCTGTACAGTAGGTTACAAGTGGGTTACTGTAATGGATGGAATTAAATTTGAATCCAATGATATTATATCATTGTATACGAAAAACGAT